CATGCAAACGCAGGGCACAGTGAGTGAAAATTGCTTAGTTTTGTTATATCTGTACGTGTTTGGAGTTGTGGGGGAAGGGGGAACCTCCGAAGCTCTCTCTGCGTGTGTGTGTGTGTGTGTGTGTGTGTGTGTGTGTGTGACAGAGAGAGAGGGGGGGGGGGTGAAATCACCCACCGTGCCCCCTCCGGGTCCTCAATTGCTTATACCCCCTTTACACTAGACGGCGTCCTTTCTGCGACCATGAAATTTGACATCGCTGTGGTCTTAATAAAGAGGCACGAGCATTGATTTTGTATCAGAATGAATGCTCAATGATCGGCCAGTTGTCGGCACGTAAAGTATTATAATTTTTTTAACTCTCAAATTGGGCCGTACTGCTGGACGCAGAAAGGACGCCGTCCAGTGTAAAGGGGGCTTTACGCACGAAGACCCGCTTACGCACCAAGCTTGGAAGCCAACCTGCCACGTAATATTTCATGGTGTTTACATACATTGCAGAAGGAGAAAGCGTAGATGGCTGTTACGTAAAATTACTCTCGCTCTGTTATCTCAATTAATTCAACTAGAAGGCTGCAAAACTGTAAACACATAGAACATTGTTAAACAAGAACTGCACTGTTGTCGACGTCAGTACACATCTGTGACAAGCAGCGCCAAATGTGCACTTGTCTTCCCTCTCTCTCTCTCTCTCTCTCTCTCTCTCTCTCTGTGTGTGTGTGTGTGTGTTAGCGTGTTTTGTATTCGTGAGCCTTGTGGTTCGCACGTCCTAGTGTGTGCATCAACAGACAGACAGCTAGAGGCACATATGAGTAGCATCGGATATTGTAATATAGAAAAAGTCCCTTTTTTTGTTTGATGTTTCATAACAATAAAGGGTTGGCCAACTTTTCAGGCGCTTACTTCATGCAGTTAAGCGGACCATTTTGGATTTATCTTAGGCATAATTAGATACAAGTTATGGTGTGGAAGTTTAAACCAGTTTTCAGTCCCGCTAAATCCTTTTTTTTTTTTTTTTTGAAAATCATCTCAGTTATATTCATGAACTTCTGCTGGATCAACTAGTTCGTGGATAAAGTATTATTTTCAGATCAGACACGTCAGTGTTTCTTCCTTCAAGGCAAATCTATTTCTAGATTATTAATGCATAATATATTGCCTAGTGTTAAATGATATGGTTTATTGCATATTCTATCGTAATAAGTCATTTTATAACATGTAATATTATACTGTATGAGGGTATGACACACCGTCAAAAATACATTAAGGATTATCTAATATCGTCTTTCTTTTATGACATCTGGCGTGATCAAATAACAGAGTCGGTCTGGCGGAAAATGGTGACGCTAAAGGAACGCATACACAGTAAAAGGATAACGCCATTACGTCACCTTTGAATGTGATCCCACGTGACCCTGGAGGGCTCACATAAAGGAACATTTGGGCGTGGATAGTTTTGTCATAATATATTTAAAAAATAATCCAGAAAGTATTTCGTATGTTGAAAGATGAGTGGTCTGTCGATCTGGATATCATTTCTGGGCATCCTTTTCCGTACTTTTTTTAATTTATCATTTAAAGTGAGTGGGGCCAATGTAATTAAAAATTCGAAAATAAAAATGGAACAATAACAATATAAGGTCAATGATCCAATGCCCCTTGACCCGACCCTCTACTTCTTTTGACCCGATCCGGTAAAGAAACCCAAACCTCAGTATCTTTGATGGATTGCAGTAAGCTGTTGATGACAGCTCGGGCTTCAAACGTCAAGACCGCAGAAAACACCTGTGTCATGCACCACTGGTTATAAATCTTGGTGAAATATGGAGTACTTCTTGTTACGCGGAAAACCAGCTCCCCAACAGAGATATTAACTGAAGTTGTTTACATTGCCGATTTAGAGTAGAACAAGCTAGAAGGTTCGATGTGCTTCGTGCTCTTCTGAACAAACAGTTTCTTGCAAGAATAAACATAAGAGGTACAGGTATCGGAATATACAGTGAAGCTTCTGCTATGTGAAATTGGACTTAAATTTCTTCATAGCCCTTATGTTGGGTTTAAGAGGTTATTGAATGCGTGCCATGGTACGTTAAACATTGCTTCCGTTCACTATTAATCTTCACCACCTCTTCATTCCCTTGCTTTCTGAGAAAGTTTGATTTGAATTCAAATTTATGTACTCAAGCATATTTTTTATACAAGTCACTCTACAATTTATTGGAGATGCGAAAACAACAAAACTGTAGCGCTATATATAGGCACGAGTTTTGGGTCTTCTGTCCCGAAGACGTAAGTTATAATATACAGGCCCGTAGCCAGCAATTCCAAAGGGGGGGTTCTTTTCCTGAAAAAGTGGACCTTTTACCATATAATTCCCATGTACCTACTAGTAGGTCACATTTTACCCAGAGTGGACCTTTTCCAGCAAAAAGGGTTTTTTTCGAACCCCCTGAACCCCCCACCCCTGGCTACGGGCCTGATATATTTATAATAAATTCCAGAGAAATGAACAATACTTTCCTTGAACAATTCCCTTTGGTAAGAATGATAATTTCAATATATTTGATGAACTACAGGTAAGAACAAAAAAACTTCAATTTTAATCCCCGAAAACATAACCTTGTGATATCTTGTGAATTATTATTATGACACTTTTTCCAGATGAAACGTACACCAACATATTTTAAAAAAAGGGAAATAAAGCTGGAGTTATAATTCAATCTCTAGTTGAAGCTTATGTGTGAAGTCATTAGGTTTTTGACACCACGTGACTTCGTTTAACTCAACTAAATTTATTTTGGTATTTCAGAGAGTTCAATTTAACTGTTGTATCACTGCAAACCCATCGTGAGGAATTAAACTTGAGTTCTGAATACCCCCCCACCCCCCCACCCCCCCCCAAAAAAAGAGAAAACACACACACACACACACACACACACACACACACACACACACAAAGAAAACATAACTGTAAAAGCAAACAACAGACAACCATTATTCTTTCAGTACGGTGTGTATTTCCAAAAAATATTCTCTTATATTGTACATTTCAATATAAATACCATCAGTGAAAATATCACAAACAAATAACGTGTGCTCACCACGTTAAACGAATAAAACACTTGCAAACGTATTTTCCAGTCAAAGATCATCTGGCAGTCAACTGCTTTTATCAGAAACATTCTTTTTTTTTAGGACGATATTTACATAATATTCATCAGTATTAACCGATGAAGCCAGTTCTTCATTTATCCCACAGTCAGATCGTTAAGACAACACTTTGTGCCAAAGCGTTGGATTCTCAATATCGATGGCTATATTGGCCCCGCGACTAAGAGTATTGGCCCCTGCCAAGTATAGCGTAGGGGGAGGCACAGAAGGCACCAGTTAGTCGTCAAAAAGTAGCAATGGTGGGGTGTGCGTAAACAGTTATGGCTTTTAAGAGCACAGGTCCACGTGCAGCTCTTTTGATATCGTCCTCGCCAATCTTTTGGTGCATGGTATTCGTCAAAACAATCCGGAAAATCCAACATCCGGTTGTCTTAAAAAACGACATATTCAAAACCAGGGTATTTGGCAAAATGTCCCATTTTAGTATAGCAACTTTGGCTTTCGACAATCAGAACCTCCAAGTGTTAAAAGAATGATGTTTACCAGGACTCGAGTCAAAATCACATGTGAAAAGTAGTTCCATCCTGTTGAAATGCTCAAGTCCGATTCACAATGGCATACTTTTTCAGATTTTATACATTGTTGAAAAAATAAAAAGATAAAAATAAAAATTGATTACCCATCAAAGTGCACATTTATGATCATGCTACAGTACGTTGTGCATGAATCTTCGCTAAATAAACCAGAAATTACACTATAATAAATTACACTATTCACATATATACAGTATTATAACAATATAAATACCAAAAAATACCTAAATAGACTTTACTGATAAACCTTTACTCATTATTTAGATCGAAGCTCTCTATTGCTGTGCTATATATGCTCCGTCTCACTAATTCTTAATTAGGCTACTTGGTCCTGGGTTTCTGTAACATTTCTAGCAATGTCAATGACATGAAAACAAAGGCACAGAGCATTATGTATAGTCATATATATGTCAAATGAAACACAATACAAGGCCTATCAACCAAAAGTAGTCCGATGACAAATACATGTACAGTCAATATATTTCTTGAAGACGTTCGTTCGCCTCCCATTACTACACGAGAACAGGCACGCGTATTTATGAAATGTACGAAATGGCAGTGCTTCGAACCGAACAATGTTCTGAACTGCCTTCCTGAAACAGCCTTTGTTGCTGAATTATGGTGCTTACTTTGACCTTTCGATTGCACGTGATTTCATTCATTTTGTATAGCGAAAATATAAATCCATTTCCCTGAGCATTTTGCAAAACATTTGTCGCCGAAGGGGGTCCAAAGATCCGCAGCTGATGTAATTTACGATAGGCACTTTTCGTTTTTTGCAGTTGTCAGAAGTCAAAATTCAAGATAGACCACAAGACAAACGCGGTCATGTCCGGCATGATTTTTAAAATCAACATATTTTGTTTTAAGCCCACTTGCAAAGTGCCCAAAATTTCACACTTTCTCGGAACACACCTTTTTGGCGGTCACGCGTCAAATAAAAACCCTTACAGTTGTCACTTCGATGCCATTTTGTCACCCCCTTCACGCTACATCATGTTGTGTCGGCAGCGTTTATTGCTTTTCCAGGTGTGCCTCGCTACCGTTGCTTTTAGCTCAAGTTGTGTAAACTACAGTCAATACCTAATTGGATACGATCACATTTTTACATCAAAAACGTTTTTCAACTCCACAAACTTTAAACAGTTTCCTCAAAGGCTGCCAAATACAGTATAGCGTAAATACAAACACGAGTCTTATTACTAACATCTGCGCGAACAACGCAGCTTTATCGTGAAAGTATGTGAATGAGAAGTTACAGGAGGATATGCACACGATTAATGAATAAATGAACAGATGATGATTAAAACGAGTACAGGTAAGCGGCAAAGGCAGAGATGTAAAGATTGAACAAAGTTCTCTGGTGGACGAATTTTGTTCTTCAGAAGTCTTTTGTCACTTTGTCTGATTTGATGACGTCCTATCTAATCGCATCACTGACGCTCTGCTTCCAGCCGTTTATAGATGCGAAGTCGTGTGTCCGATTCACGGTTTAATGCTGTTTAAGTCTCTGGATAATACAATGTGGGGTGTATGTTTCCGCGCAACTGTCCCAAAAGTTTATAACGACTTATTTTTTAACTGTTTGCGGAAACGATTAGGAATTTCTTGAAATTCCGAAAAGTCTTCGACCAAGAAGACATGAATGTGTCACACTGATGCTCTGCCACCTTGAAAAGTCAAGTATCACGTGGTGGGTAACGGGGAATTTCGATTTCTGTGAGGAGAGATAACGTTCATGACTCGTCCACGTAGCCGCCGCGTTCATCTTCGTCTTCCTCTTCTTTATCTGTTGAGAAAAAGGATAACAATAAAGATGTTTGTAATCATGAGTGTATGTTTTTATTATATTTCTTATTATTTCTTTATTCCATTTTATTTATTTATTTATTTATTTATTTATTTATTTATTTATTTATTTGCGAGAAGAGAAATTCATACACTGTGGCCAAACACATTTGAAATATTTAAATCTTTTAACGAATTCGTATATTGTTCAAAGACGCTTTAAGCTTAAACGTACTTTTGTTGTAAATAAAACTTTATTGAAATATCTTCTATGTGATTAGCTTCAGTACTATTATATACATGTTTATTTGACAGAACCTTACCTTTGCAGATTACTCTGTATAAAAGCTTTCGTAGATTTTTGTTCAAAGCTGCTGATTGGTTGAACCTTAACCCATACTGAGGCTTGGAGGCGAGGCTGAACAACGTCTTGTCGCTTACTTCATCGGAGACTGCCAGTGTCATAATTTTAATACCGTGCTTCTTCGCAGCTCTGGCTGCGGCGTAGGCCGATTTCAACTTTTCTGGGTCCTTGTCCAAAACGAGCACCGCCAATTTCCGTACATTCTTACGGGCGCCGTTTTTATGGTGGAAAGTGCTCTTGACGAGGTGGTGGATTCTTGACTGGGTGGTGTACAATTCTTTGCTCTGTAATAAACATAGAACGGACCTTTATTTTAAGAGAAATAAAAACATATTGACAGAGTAAATACAAGTTAATACAAGGCTAACTCATACGTTTTCTGTATATATACATATACCATGTACCAGTCCTACATTTCAAAGACCATTGATGTTAGCTTTTTTTCTATGAAAGCTTGGACGAAGATGAAAGCAATTTGTGTATCTTTTACCCTAACACTTTAAATGAAAATGGCATTACCTCTACGTTGTCCAAATGTTTATGAAGGGACCACATATCCTGGTACTGGTTGAAAGAGAATCCGGGTGCCTTGCACTCCTCTGGGACCATGGCGACCTGGATGGCATCCGGTCCGACTTCAAACTTCTTGGTGATGTTCTTGACGAGCTGACTGTAGAAGCGCAATTTGTCGGGGTTTCTCGTCGTGGCCTCTCCCAGAACGAAGGCAACATCGGATTGCATCTTCTTGCCGCAGTCTACAAATAATCAAAAATCAATAAGGGAATAAAGAAAATGAATCGAATATGCACCGTAGTGGGTTACTGCATGTACCAGTGACTGTCGCATTGGTATATTGGTTCACGTGCACCAGCTAGACATTCTGTTACACTTAGTGACGTGTACCAGAAAAAGACAACACCATGCCTTCATTGGAGTAGGAAGAAATATAAAATCATTGATATAGACAGGATCATGTATATCTTAAACGTTTCAGCAAGTAAATACAATATAATAATCAATGGAAATCAAAGACAAACTACTGAAATGTCTGACAGCATTGTTCAAACACTCCCGTGCTGTCACCCAACACGTTGGAAAAAATCGAGACAAAACTCTGAATGCAGTTAAGGCTTAAACTCCCTTGGTGCTCAAGATTAACCTGTCAAACATGATACTTTCCCACATTGAAATGTCTTTTTTAAAGCCGTATGTGTTTCGATGCTCCATCTGAGAAAGAGCGTGACCTTGAAGATGCAGTTTGGATTCGTGAAGTGAAATCACGAAACAGGGAGAATATGTGACTCCGAAAAGGTGCCATTATCTTGAGTTACGCAACATGATATCAGCCTTAGTTAAGCCTCCGTGGTGGTTGGCAATAGTTTGATGGTGTCAACGAGATAAAATATACCCGAGTTGCGTGCATTATTGCGAATTTTACTTTAGTTTCTTTTTCTACAGTACGTGCCACGAGAAATTTTGCGCTCAAACCAATTTTGGCGCGGCATTTATACAACGTCCCCACCCAACAATGAATGGCATCGAGGTAAGGCTCCTTGTAACTTGAAATGACCACCAAAACAATTGAAATCATACAACTCAATTCCCTGTCCCGATATATAAAATGAACACAAGAAATGAACACATGGTGCTTACCATGCCATGGTGGAATCTTAGCCTTGACTTCACACGCTTTGATGGCCAACTCCCTCTTGATGTTGTTCAAGGCGTCATAGCCGCCTTTCACGTGGAACACGTTCTTCTCCGTGGGCTCGCTTGCTATGGCATTCAGCTCGTTGATGTCGATGTTCAAACCCTGAAGCAAAAGGAGTTTTCCTATGTAATATTTGGAGTTATGGTATGTCGGAATGTCATTCCGTGTAAAATGAAATGCGAAACATTCCAGGGTCCCCGATAACAATCGTACTACGTTTTTAGCTGCTGAGGGGTTATTTTTCCTAACTTCTTACATCAGGATAAAATGCTTTCAAACTTACGTTCTTACGCCGATCGCCTATGCCGATGACCATGATTCTGATCCCCGCCTCTTTGGCCAGCTTGGCCTGTTTGATCGTCTCTTCTTTGAGTGTAGACTTCCCGTCTGTCATCACGATGGCGATTTTGGGGACCTATACAAATAAGAAAAGACCATAATCCGTCAATGCGCAATTGATAAAGTAGTTATTTTAGAAGTTGTTTTAATTATAAATTAATAAACATTTTAATCAAAATCTATATAGTGCCATGGCCTTTAAATTAATTTTTGTTCCTTAAATATTTAGGACTTGAGTATTTTTTGCATGCTCACTTCATCATCGTCCCATCTAGCGCCCTCCCGCATCGTCATCATGCTTTCGCGCATCTTCTTCAAAGCGATATTGGTGTACGTCTGTCCAGCACGCTGGTAAATCTTCTTAATGGCATTGGACAGCTGCTCCCGCTTGAAGTAATCGTTGAGGTTAAACTGGATGTCCACGGCGTAGGAGTCACTGAACGTGATGGCGCCGACCCTTGTCCCCGTCCCGTGCCCGTCCACGTTGAATTCGTTGACCACGCTGTTGATGAACTCTAGCTGTTTCCGGAAGTGAGGCGGCCATATGCTGGAGCTGGCGTCGATGACGAAGACTAGATCGGAGGGAAGGCCGCAAACTGGAAAATAAAGTTATCAAGTTTAAAATTTTATGACCGTGTCTTACTAAAATGCAACTGTGTTTATTTTATTAACGTGACACATACTACTACTACTACTACTACTACTACTACTACTACATGTGTACTACTACTACTACTACTACATATCTTTAGGGCATCAGATATGACCAATTTACAGCTACAAATATACAAAACTGTGCCCAAACCAGGGGCGGATTGAGGCAGTCTTCTGGGTCTTCCGGAAGACGGTCAGATTTTCAATTGACATTGGCGGTTATCTAATTTTTCCTCTCGGAAGACGGTCAGAAATGGAGGATGGATCAGCAAAGATAATTTGGAAAACTGTCAGAAAATAGCTCTGGATCCGCCCCTGCAAGCGTGTCTAACATGAGTAGCAAATGGTAACGCTGGTGCTCGTGTCGTAGCGTTACATTTGGGCGGCACTGTACCACGGGCAAAAAACGTAAATGTGCGATGCAGAGGTGGGCGTTACTGTATCAGTCCAAGATGTGGCGTTAGAATAAAGCACTCTTCACACGCGGTGAGTTGCAGCGCACCGGTTCCCCTTAACAGTAAGCGGATTTTAATGTCAAATTCCAATAAACATCGCTCACGGCCAGTATTATAACTTAAACTCATTATCAACCCATTTACAGGTCTTGCGAAACTGTAGTAATGCTAATCGTTTTATCTGGTGTCGTATTACATTTTAAAGAAAAATGTTAAAATAAACGGGATTTAAGATAACACAGTAAAGAGCTAATCTAGAAAACAGCTTAAAAAATCTACAAACGTTTCACTTGCTCTTTGCTTAATGTAAGGTCTTATCAATACTGTTTATTAAAGAGAGTTTGGAAATAAGGTTTATGGGGCGCATTATTTTTTAAACATCTCCCACTGAGCCGTGACCCCTTCAGCTAGAGTGAGAACACTGTTAATTTGGCATTGCTAGCTACTGAAACAACATTTCAGTAGAACTGTCAAACAATCTGCGGTAGGGAGCGTGTCTCGGGGCACAGGTGAGGGGCCTCAGACGAACGCACTGGTCACCTGAGGTCAAGCGACGGCCCGAGTGGGGTCAGTTGATGGGAAACAACCACTTAACCACAAGTGGCGTCTCCTACTCGGCCAGGTGCGTGTGACGGATGCTAGTCTCGTGTTAGTGTAATACTCGTACGTTGGCTGCTGTATTGGGCTGTCGTGACGGATTTCTATGGAGGTGGGTGCATCGGGCGGAAAATAAAAGGCGACCTGTCTGAAGATTTCTAAAGAGATATTTTTGTACCTATAGTCAGTACACAAGAGACATTAAAAGAACTACAGTATTTCACCAAAGCTGTATCTGCCTGATTTTCAACCACTGGTGTTCTTTGTGGGATCTATCCAGTAGACTGTGCTCTCGACTACCCTTTCATGTACACGATGTGTATCTACCGCACTATGTATAAAATATACTTGTATTATGCATACGCGTTCATGTCAGGATGGGATATCACAGTACATGTACAACTTGTTAGAATAACCACCCCCTTTATTCACTACTCAGAGGTCATTTACAATCAAATCAGTCTCCCTCGCTGCCCAGAGAAGATGGTCGTTTTGCGGTCCAACTTTGTAAAAAAAAATTGTTTTCATCTTTCGTGTCACGTGTTTACCCGTAACTGCCACGCGATTTTTCGTAATAGCTCAGGGCTTCCTTCAGCTTTTATTGGGCGTTTATCAATCGTGAGCCAGGCGCTCTTTGTTGGTTGTTTTTCTTAGGCCGCTAATTTAACAGTACCAGTGGTGATTCTGTTTTGTAATGGCACGAGCAGTTACGTATTGTACATGCCTCCTGCTTCAGTTCCTTTCACTATACCAAACGGTCACCGGGCGAGCCACCGGTCAGTTGAGGCGATTTCTTTATTTTCCAAAATCGGTGCCACTTTGCTCTTTGGACCCACTACATGCACAAGTCAGTGACAAAAAATGAACTTCTATGGAATTAATTTACACTTAAATTGTGCTACATATATCAATAGGACTAGACCCAATTTTCCACCACGCTCGGTATATTTCATGCCTGTTGCGTTTGGCATTGAGATTACGTGATGCAACAAATTTCCACATTTCTTCATTTCCAGAAACTGGTCGAAATCGAAATAAATATTTCTATAGCAAGTGGTTCTTGTAAAAATAATCTTCCTTTTAAGTTGGCCCATATGAACGATTCCATTGCTAAATTTGCGAGGCTAGCAAAGATTGCGAAATCTTTGTTTTCGTTTGACTAGTCAAAACGGAAAAACTTCAAACGGTTAAAAATGATAAATTGTTTCCCTCACCAACCCACAACAGCATTTCACACACACTTCGTCAACTGTTTAAGGTGTAATTTCCAAAAAATCAAAGCCTCTTCCAAAACATTAAGCAATCGAATAATTTACGTGAACCAGAATCACGGGACGACAAAAAAAATCTAATGAGGAAAACATATTGAGAGTTATTCACCCTGATGTACGTGTAGTTACTTAAAGCAAAAGAGGAAAAAAGTATTTCCGTTTCACCGTGGCATGCCCTTGTTGAAAGTTACTCCGAATCATTTAATTCGGAATGCCATAACTGCGAGCACAATAAAACAGCGCACTTGTGACTTAATGAGATCGCACTTTGGATATGGGGGGAAAAATAACGAGAATAATACTCGCATTAAAGACGCCCCACGAGCCAAGAGAGGACCGCTTAACATTTGTTGCCCTCTCTCTTTCTCTCTCTTTCTCTCCCACTCTCTCCGTTGTGCATAACAGTCGTTTTTTTTTACTACGAAGAATAATTTATCTTGCTTATTTAAGTCGAGTGACACAAAACACAGAAACACAGATCAATTTACTTATTATACATACTTTTACTCCCCACCCCCTCGAAGGGAGTTAAATTAAATATAATTCAAAACGGGTGCTTAAACTGAAGGAAAATAGTAGACGCGAAGAAATAGACGGTTGCGTAAACTAATCATATGGTAGAAATGTACACATATCTAATTTGGGACATGCCAAAATGAAAAAAAATGTGAGAAAATTACTCTTATCAAGATTGCGGTTTCGACAGTCAAGCATAACCTCCCACCACGGCTTACAGTATTACCTGACTGAATAAAATTTTAAAAAATTGCGGTGTTCTCTTTTCAACGGCTAATTTCCTTTCTTTTCTACTTTTCTATTTTTAGGAGAAAGGTGTGAGTTGAAATTAGGAAGGCGGGGTTCTAAGATGAGCTTACTCATTTGCCTTTTCAGCGTAATTGGAAAGGGACGCGCACACCGGACCGCGGAATAATTAGCTCAGTGTCGAACACATTATAAAGAAACACGATGCATATTTTCCGAGGGTGTTTCCATTTAGGAATGCAATTCAACACTTACTTTTAGGCGGGCCGGTCGGCTGGGGCTTGGTCTCAAATTCGTAATCACTGAAATAACCGCTCACCTAAAAAGGTAAAAATGAAAGATTGTAATTACCCAAGAATGCGGAAAACATGTCCAACTATAAACACATAGCAACAACTCAAACAAGAATCACTCCTGATGCGAGCAATAAAGAACCCAAATTAACCCAGAGCAAATTGATAATTCACTCCACTCTCACTTTACTTTACTAAACGTAATTGACTTCTATTATTACCTATCGAGTAAATAGACAAATAATCAGATTTCAACTATGCAGAAAATCTCGAAATAGCTTGGTATTTGTATACGCGGACAACCGAGTCTCAATATACATATATACGGTATCAGTTTTCTATATAATCAGCTCGTTTTGCAAGGCCTTTGCGGAGGTCTTGGGGCCTGCGCCAGAGGTTGAGGGTAGCGCCGGACTGGCGTGGTATGGCCCTTTTTGTCAAAGACGTGAAAAGCACAAAGGGGCAGTGCCCGGGATTCTTAGCTGTCTTTTATTTCTTCACGACACCCTGCTAGTTCAGCTCGATATAGCTCGCGTGGCTTGTAAGAAGAGCGTCGTCTGCGAAAGAATGCGACGTGACGTAAGCCCCCTGCCCAGGTTAGGGGGCTCGGTTTACCCCCTACTCGACCCCAATACCGGTGCTGCTAGCGTCCTGCAGGGAATGTTTATGGTCAGGGACGAAAAAACACGCGGTCCGTGTACAAACAAATATGATCGGATTGCTCCCACGAAATGAGGAATTTCTCTCGCATTATGAAGGACAAAGATGACAAACATGTCAGGCAGACGATCTTTTCAGGCGATACCTGTCACTTTTCGCTCTACACATACACTCCAGACGACAGGGCACATGCTTGCGATTCCGCCCTGACGCCTGTTCAGCGGTATGGTGAAAAAAATAACAAACGTCCCTCAGGTGAAAGATCCGCGTTTATTAAGACCCTTCTCTAGGCGGATACTCCTAAACTGCCGTGTTCAATAAGATCTTGAAAGACCCTTTAATTGGTCGTGATCGGTTTCCGGTTTTGTTTTTATTACCGTAATAAATGCGAATTGCCGTTACTGCATTTTAATAATGCATACCAGTTGCACCCCTCAGCGGCTGAATGCTGCATTTGTTTTACTTGGCAGCTTGTCCGAATTCCTCCACGCCGTGAATCAAATAACATTTACACCGCTGGAATATGAAGTTTGTTTCAAATTAACCCAAAAAACGCAGGTGCTCGTGTTAATTGAAGAAAGGCCACGCGCAGCGCAGGTGAAGCCCTCGAAGTCATGTCTCCGTGACGCCTTTATCACATTTTAATCGACTTTTCGCCTTTAAAGGATTTTAAAATGGGAAACAATTTTGTCTTAGACTTTGTCTTTGTTCTTAAGTCTTGTAATCTGCTCTAAATGAGAAACGAGTCTACAAATATAGCGTCTTTCGGCGGTCGATTCATACCATAACTCCATTACAAGCGACAATCGTGGTAATCGTGCTGCCAGACGATCCGTGTCGGCATGTGAATCGCGGGAAAGTAAGTGTCGCAGACGACGGGGACGTCGCAAGAAAACAAATCGGTCTCTTCATATTAGAGTTGCAATAAAATATTTTTTGTCAACAGGCTGTCCTTCGAGTGGAAAACAAGTATGTTCGACCGCCAGTCTCAACAATTTTATTAACTACACTTGAACAAAAATTTGAACAAGATGAAAAACATGAAAACCTTCCACGACGAACAAAAATGGCCAATAAATCAGGCATATGCCTAGACAACGAGAATGTAAATAGTCTATTACGCGATTACAACACAAAAGACAATAAAGTGAATTCCTTTATTCCTTATCTTTGGTGTTTTTCCAAATAACATTAAATAAGAAGTCATCATCGTATCTGTCGCCAGCACCAATTTTTCTTCACGGCCATAAAAAAAGATAACCGCGGAATCGTGGATCTCATTATTTCATTTCTTGGCCTCCTGCGAGCGGAAGCCAAAATAGATTGAATCATGGGGTCATTTGTAAAACAAGAAGAAAAGAAAATGCGGCGTTATCGAACGCATTACCTCATATCAAAACCAGGTGGAGAACCCGGTTGCAATTCATCTGAGTGACATTTTATTCATTAAACAACCGTGAAATCCCCCATTGGGCTTCGAGTGGGGAATAAATTCCCCCCTTAAAGACCTTTATCAAGAAAAGAAGCAGTAGGTGTGCTTATTTTCTTTAATTTCAGGAATTGTCTAAGATAATTGGACGTCTGGTATCGCCCTGTAGAGCTATTTCTTACTAGATGCAAACGGTAGGCTTTTTCGAACTTTTTCCAAAAAATTCACTAGAAAAAAGCTCGACAATACTTTGGTGACAATACTTTGGTAGCACATGTGCGCTACTCTGTACAAAGTTGCCCTTGAACGGAAGGTGAGACGCTAAACGCACTAATTATGTGACGCTTACAAAGGTTTGTTTTTTATCTAAGCAGCTCAGGTGACACTCTGCCTGTCACTTTACTTGACATTTACACGAATTATTTGAGTAAACCAAATGTGACGCTTATCCGCTCCGTAGCTGGGACGATCCGCAGATTCCGAAGGCTCGCGCTGACAAAGCCCCGCGACTGACAGTGCCAGTGAACTATGCGAAACATCGTGAATACAATCGAATTAAAAAGGGCAGTTCAGGTTACGGCGCGAAAGGGAGATCGTCTGCATTTCAAGAATGAAAAATTTTAATCGCTAAGTGGTGTAGTAAAAATGATCAGAAGAAGACCATTTCCTTTTGTTTGCATGGACGCAGGTGACGCGAGTGCTCAACTCTGAGGAGTCAATCGGGGAGGGCAGAGCATCATTTTTGCGGTTGGGGACTATTCTATGGTTTCTATCACAGTGTAGCGATACGGTTAAAGAAAAACAGTCCCGCACCATGGCCCGGACCAGACCCTGAGACACGTTTCAAATAGGCAATCGAGGGGCGTCTTGTTTTATTTGCTTGACTTGCTGACTGGAATTATGGCATTTTCAGGCTTTTCAAAAACAGTCACCCGACGAAAAATAGATTTGTTTACCGTGCTGAAAGGAACGCATAGTTTCACGTTGAGGGTCAAACAGCCGTGAACCCCCGTACCCCAGCGCCACCTGACGGGGGATTTCAAATAGATGTCAAATAGTTGGATTTAATTGAAAATCTATCTTTTCAACAGAATGAGTCGACTTAAAGTGCCGCGGGCTTTGAAAATGGACTCTTAAACCCTGGGTCAGTGCCGCCGCTTCGCGCCAGCTTAAATTGTCGTCTGCTCGGCAAAAAAGTACATTCGTCACATCTCAATTTCAAAGAATTATTTCGACTTTGCTTTCAAAGGAAAAAATCGCCTCTAGCATTAAAACGATTTCCAACGACATAACAGAATCGCTGTAAGCTTCTGGCATCCCCCTTGCAGCGTTTTAACTTAAACACGTGCATCGCCCCCGTAATTAACCGCTCGTGCCGGCAACCCGGTTTTTATTGGCTACAATCCTCATGAATATTTTCTTTACCATCGCTGTTTCTGTGACTTTTGCTACCGCAACAACTAAAAACAATTTGGCGTAACGAAAATAACCCATCTGAGTTTGTAACCCAACAGGGGAAAATAAACACGTAAAATAAACCAAACTAGAATCTTCGAGATGACAGGGTGCTTTGATAGATGACTAGGTTTTCCACGATTTACATCAGCGCGTTCCAATTGACTTTCTTAAGTGAAATGACTTGTTTGTTTTCTTGTCGATTTTTTCTCCACATTTCGCTGCAGGTCACGTACAACAAATCACCGGCGACTCTCCAAAGTCGATAACGCTGTCACGCAACAGCTTAGCTTGAGACCTCTTTTACAAAGTAAATAAATAAAGTAAAGAAAGAAATGTTTATAAGAAAACAGCACTAGATTTTTAAGTCAAGTAGGACTTATCGATTGTAAAAAAGGAATATTCTACTTACCATTGAACAACAGAGAAGTGCCACGACCACGGCCTCGGCTATTTTGTACATCTTGATTTTCGTTCGTGTAAAAACGACCAGGACGGCAAAAAAATCCACTTCAGTTAAATCAGTATCTACTTATGCCTTTCAAGTCAATGCTGAAGTTCCTCGACTGACTTTAAAAACGATCCTAAAGAAGTTTTCCTTGGCGTTCGCTTTTCTTTATCTGCTTTTAGTGTATAAAGTTGAGGAGCTCTACCTAGTCAACCGCGTTAAAGTATGTAGTACTAGTAGTACTGCGTCTTCGTTCTTCGAGGACCTCGTGAGTGAGTATGAATGAAGCTCCCTCTCAGCTGATGGCCTTTTTATAGGCTAGTAAGCGAGGTTATTTTTAGTGGGCGCAGGGTTTACTGATGGAACCGATTGATTTATTGTGGAGAGGGCCGCTGTTTCAAGTTACTCGGGCGGAAGTGAAATTCCCCCTAGACGCCATGCCAATCGACGTCACCGTGCACCGGCCTGGCTTAGCCAATCATTAGAGGCCGTTTGGTAAAATCACGTACGCGGCTTGATAACAAGAGAATCAGCTGAAAGCCGTGTCAGGCCCCGTTATTTTGCCTGCTCAACGAGGGGAGTTAAGGAGCCACGTCCCCCGAGGCCAGAATTAATCGTTTAAGTTGACACACTGTTTTCAAGAAATGTATTTATTTAATCCGTGTATAGACGGTATCAGCCGGTCCTTACATGAAGTTATTCTCCGTTATTGTTCGCTACTCTGGTCATTCCAACAATGCGAACAATGTTCATAAATTAGCAGCCTAACACATTTGTTTTTGTTTTCACTTTCTCCAGGCTCTTTGTCGTTCTGTTGACTTCGTATGTACACGTTGCTGACTAGGGGGGACAATTAATACATTTACCTTAAGATTGTTGACAAGGGGGGTGTGTTGACTTCGTGATTTACCAAATTTCATTCCTTTGTGTCGATAAATCCCTGCCACATTGTTGAAAAAACTGATGTTTATTTTCGCTACGATTGACCTGTGAATTGGTAAGAACAACAGTAACGCTTTAGCTTTTCACTGCCGTGAAAATATAACTCATTTTGTAAGCGAACTGATTCTTGGCATGCCGAGGCTTACCTATTAGCGACAGAAGGCAACAAGTCGAAAGGCACGCACAAAGAGGATTTAATTTGATAAAGCAACGCTGTGAATTCTTTCAACCTGTGTAATACAACAGAAGTAACTATATTCAATAGGGGGCGGGAGGTTCACGCATCTCGCATGCGTTCTGCACTGTATGTATAGCTTTGTGCGAAGTCCTCTTTTTCCCTATCGCTCTACCAGTCAAAATAACCCAAGTCTGGGTCTGATAAGAGAAAGGGCAAATTTTGAGGGCGCGGGAGGGTGCACTTATTCAGTGTTTGACTTTGTATGAGAGTCGTCATTATAGATTCGGTTCAATCGTCTTTTCCTCACAAGAAACATGAGATACACATCCTACAGTGTATTTTACTACATGTAGCACCTCATTACTGTAAAATGTAAATCGAAGACAAAAGGAAAGAGGATGGATGCTTTCAGACCCATGCCCCTTTATCATTTAGTACTGCTGGTATTAGAATATGAAGTATTTTCTGAAGATCAGACGACCACATCGAAGTAACGACAACGAAAAATCAGTTGTCACGTATCAAGTGGTCCATTTGTCAATTCCCAATTTAATGGGCTATATTGTCACTCCCACAACTGACAGGAGTTTAAACCGCAGCTCCAGATAATCATCACCTAAGTATTTCCCTGTCATTTTTTAACCACATCATTAATTGCCGTGTATACAGCAACAAGGTGGAAAGATCATGTTAACGCTTCTGCCAGTGTTGGTGTTTTATGACCGCCCGTTACCGTTGCCGTGCTCTAAATCGCCCGTTCAAAAAACATTAGTCTTTCGTCTCGGCACCAACACCTGCTTGTGTCATCAGCGGGCAATCAAGAACCGATTAAGTGTAAATTTTGACTTGCTTAAGTCACCCATATAACGACTTTTCCTTTCTCTGTCTCTCACTCATCGTGTCTTACTGGTACACGTTAGGCTGCGATATTTATCATGAAGTCTTGCGTCTCTTGTTAAACCACAGGACCCTGATGCAATGACGAGAGCTTCATCAGTCTGTAGGAAGAGGTGGGTTTCGAGGGGTTCGGGGTAAGGAAGAACCACTTCTTTTGGCCAGGAAAGGTCCGGTCTCAATAAAAATTTGATTGAGAGTTTTAGGCTCCTTCCCAAATTTGGCTAATTAAGGGGTTAACAGTCCACTTTATCAGAAAAAAAGTAACCCCCCCCCCCCCCCCGGCTATATGCCTGGATAAGATCAGTCCGGGAATTACCAGATTTATGATTGAATCAACAGCCCAAGTATAGAGCAGGGGCGGATATAGGGTGTCTTCTGGGTCTTCCGGAAGACGGTCATATTTTCAAGTTTACATTGGTGGGTATCTAATTTTTTCTGTCGGAAGACGGTCAAAAATGAAGAACGGATCAACAAAGATAATTTGGAAGACTGTCAGGAAAAAACTCTGAATCCGCCCCTGTAGAGGTCCCATCATCTTTTCGCACACCATTGTGCCAAGCCCCTAAAAACCGTCACCGGTATTTTCTCATTTAATCGCTCATTAAGGGAAAGTGTCAACATATTGGAGGTTAGATATTTGCCGGAAGACTTGGCTAGACCTAGTGTAAATCTAGCTAATGTTTATTGGAAGAGTAATGATTGCCTTTGACAACTTCTTGTAGGGTGATAACTTATCAATCATTGTAAACTTACATTTGTTCCCAATGTAAACCGGAAATGTCAGTTTGTGATACTACAGCGAAACAGAAATCTATACATTATTCACTATCAGACGACACATCTTTGGGCCTTGTTAAGTAAATTTTGCCAATGGCCTGAAAGACGCATTCTCTTTTTTTAACAGTTATGAGTGTGCTTTTAAAGTGATTACGACCCTCAGCAACAAATCTTCTCGTCAAATTTGCTTTAAATTGACAATCGTTTAAGTGTTTGTGTTGACTGGTGTAAGCTTGTCGGGTTTTTCTTTTAATGGGAAAAGTCGCGGCCCCTCAGGTGGCTGTGATAAATTCCTTTAGACGCTTTAACTTTACATGTCGTTAAAGAGGACAGCGTTTGTATAAGGGTAATTCTATGTAATAGGATCCCGTCTCCATACACCAGACGTGACTCTAGCCTAGTTTCATGCCCATTCATTTTTTTCAACCGAACGCAAGGTTATGCAAGATATAATGGCTTTTAGTGATGAGGTATTTGTCGAAGCAATCAATCGAAACTGCTTATATAAACTTTGTCATGGATCCAGATTCTTCTTTTCAGCGGTGAAAATGATTGCAAACATTTTGAGCCTAAGTCAATAAAAAAGTTACCGGTTTGTCACAATACGGTTTGACCTTGTGGGTGACTCTCATAATTAGACCTTCTGTTACAACATTGGGATGTATTCATGGGCGAAACTGAGGAAAAGTCGACAGAGGTGGTGTGTTTGTTTGCTTTTTTGAGTGGACTTTGTTAAAACTACTCTGCAAAACGTCTTCAATTGGGGACGTACATCTGGCATTAAATTCCGAGATAAATGTAAGAGAGAAACCCAAGATGATAAAATACACGCAGGTGTGCAAATGCGTATCAACATAGCACACGTGTAACACTCTGCTCTGTATGTGTGTGTATGTGGGGGGGGGGGGGGAGTGCAGTGTGGGTTTCCTGTTCCGAGGGCGGGTGTGATTTGGGGGTAGTAGAATTAGTATTTGTTTTTATTTATTTCGGAGAAGATATAAGTTTTATAACACTTAATATACGAACAGAACACAAAATCTTTTCCAGCATAGTGTACACAAAGAAGATGACACTTTAGACAACTATAACAAACTGTAATAGACGTTTAGAAAATGGAGTAAAATTAAAGGGGGGGAAAGACATCAACCTTTTACCACTTTCACTGTCCCACAGCACTGTCACATAACACACTGACGAACACTGTTCAATTTATCAATGAAAAAGCTACATGTACCCATCTCTGAGGCAAGTAGTACAGAGAAGAGGATTTTCCGAGAATGCATGGTACATGTGAATTTCGTACGTGTTGCAACGCGGAAGGAAATAACTGCATTACAAATATCCCAGGCTAGGGTATTCTTTTTGAATACATGGGGAATTTTCTGTGCGTTAAAGAGAGTCATATAAGTTGTCATGTTCGAGAGAAAAACTCTATTTGATTTACATTATAGGCATAAATAGTACAGTACATTTTAGTCTGTTCACGTTGAATGAAAAAAAACGACATGAAGGAAGTAAACGCGTGCACGCAAGCGTGTGTGAATGTGCGTGTGTTTGTGTGTGAGTGTGTTTGTGTGGTTCTTGCATTTAGGATTGAAGGCACTAAAAAGAGGGGAAAGCTCCCCCTCCTCCCCCCCCCCCAACAACCACCAGGCTCCTTCGCCCATTAAAAAAAAAAACACTCCCCAGTGCAAGAAGTGAAGGTCTTACAAACAGTGGCCCGAGGGTATCGCACCGAATATACCCTTGAACTGTTCCACCCACTTGAGCGCACCTAGAAATTGAAAACTTCCCAAAATATTGTGATCATATTTTTGATAAAGGTAAACAAAAAGCTGTTCAATAAAACTAATTAAAGAAGTGACGATGTTACAAAAGCTGGCCCTGGGGTGTTGTACGCAGCGCACTTTTGAACCTCTGGCGCACCCAGAAAGCAAAAGAATTGGAGAATATCGTGATCAGAGTCGATAAAAGTAAACAAAAAGGCGTTCAAAAACTAAATTAAAAGTTCGTCACACTACCAAAGCCCGGTCGTTTGTTTCTGAAAGACGAGCAACTTGAGCCCCCGTGTCGCTGATAAGAGCGTGAAAGGAACAGCACGTCGAGCCATTTCATAACCGCGACATTCAGTACTGCCACAATAAGGTTCTCGGTCCTGTTATTATTCTACGTCATTTAGTTGTTGTGACTCTTGTGTAGGCAGTGACTTTTGTACCCGGTGACAGCAAAAAGTAACGCATGAAAGTATTGCGTTGTCTTTTGTTTCGTTGACAATTTGTATTTACTTCACTTGTTGGTCAGTGTAATAAATGACGCAGCTTCTCCGTGTGGGAGGGTTCTCGTTTTTACTTACTGTATACATTTAACGCAGTTTCCTCCATAGCTTCGTATCTGGTGCAACAGACGGGGGGGGGGGGGGGGGG